TACATCAGGCAGAGTGCTACTCAACATATTATACGAGCACATTACGTGCGTTGTGTAAGTATGGATGTGGTTTTAAAACTAGGAAGAACTTTGGCAGTTAAACAAGACGCTGCTTACGGTTTCTACCATATGTGCCATCCCTTGTTGCCTTGTGAATGCTGTATCTTGTGGATGCGTACTAACTTCACATACTACCTTTCTCGCTGCAGTTCACGTATGTTGGACAAGCCTTCCGCCTGGGTCGCTACCCCATCCACTCTCATCTAAACGGCGACATGAGCAACTCCTATGTGCGTGGTAACGCCATCCACCGCAGCTTCAACAGGGCCGTGACCATGCACGGTACACACAACCTGCTGGTGGAACGTAATGTGGTCTTCAATATCATGGGAGGAGCTTTCTTCATTGAGGATGGTATTGAAACGGGAAACATCATTCAGGTAAAGCATCCAGCTTGTGTATACTTTACATTACCATGCCTTCAAACAAACAACAATAACAATCCTTTTACAATTCTGAAACAATCCCATACCTCCGCCAAACGATTTTAACAATTGATAATAACGCACTATAAAGGTCCCTTCTTTGATTATACAAAAAAGGTCTTATTCTCCAGTCTCATCAATTTGTTGAAATGAAGTTGTTCACAGTTTGAAATTCCTAACAACGAAAGTTGATGTGGCATTCTCATTTGTTATGCAAATGAGCTTCGAGATTTATGTCGAATGATATTTACATTACCTTTAATAAACGCCACATGTATAAATAAAGTTCCTATAATTTGCCACTATGATATAATATTTTCGCCTGTGATTCTGCAAATGAGGTCTTCCTCTGCATAATCGATATCTATGGATCTCTTTGAATGTTACATATGTCACTTGTTTGAAGGTCCTGTCATAAAGCACAGTTACTTTATGGAATTTCCTAATTACAAGCTTATTAATTAATCATGCGAATTTGCTTAATTAGCATGCGATTATGTCAATCATCATATCGACAATCGCCCATCAGCCCCTTCTCCAGTCATGGCCTCCCACTGAGTCAGAAACAAAATTGGCTCCTGCAGTTCTGAACGCACCAAACTTGATGACAATTCACCTATAGCACCTTGGTTATAGTGCTAAACCACATACACACATGCATACAAACGCTATCAAAAACGGCGAAGGTAAAAATGTTTATTGAACATTCCAAAGGTGCTCTCTGATATGTTGTTGTATAACTATAGTCTTTGTTGTGTTTCAGTATAATCTTGCTTTGTTCGTGAAAGCCAGCACCAGTCTGCTGAACGATGACATCACACCGGCTGGGTACTGGGTTACCAACCCCAATAATACCATTCGGGTAGGAATAATAAAAGCTACATTTTGGACAATGTCACTATTCTTTATTACTTGTACTTTAACTACAGATTTTTCTTGAAATGGAAAAAAGTAGCACGGAGGTACGGAAAGCTCTGTTGCTGCCGCTGATTTTTACACGACTGTCATGATTCTATCCTACAATAGCACAACCATGCAGCAGGAGGAACCCACTTCGGTTTCTGGTACCGTATGCACAAGCATCCCGACGGTGCGTCCTACAATCCAGAAATTTGTCCGCAGAGAGTTCCACTAGGAGTCTTCCAGAACAACACTGTCCACTCGCAGGGTTGGTTTGGTCTGTGGGTGTTCCAGGAGTACTACCCTGCTGAGGGAGGAAGCTGCGGCTGGGGTGCCAAGCCTCAGCCTGCGGTCTTCAGGGGCCTTACGGCGTGGAGGTGGGAATTTCACTGAGCCTCTTGTGACGTTGACAACTTTTAAGCACCTTCTACACGATACTAAGCAACACCCGGTGGTGGTGGTAAAAAACAAACAAGAACAAAAACAAGTGCAGTGACTATATACAGAAGTCGTAGCTGGGGGTTGGTCACATTCCTACAGCGGGGTACAGGAAAGCCATAATGGCTGGCTACCCCAGCTTTAGAATGCTCAATTGACTTAGCCATTACCAGATGGTCAGGTGGGGCATTCAATAACTGTTCGTGGGAAGAAGCTACCTCGTAGTCACCACCTGCTACAGAATTATGATGTATAATGATGACCCTAGAATAACATATTTCCCAATGATCATAGTCAGGATTCTTGAATCAATGACATGAATCAATAGAATGCAAAGACTGTCGCTCATGCATGATTACATATTTTATATGTCTCTTGTTGAGTGTACATGTACCTCTGTTGACTAGCCATTCATGTACGTATAGGAATGAGAAAGGTGCAGAGTGGGTGAATGTTGGAGCTGTACAGTTCGAGGACTTTGTTCTGGCTAACAATGAGAAGGCTGGGATCGAGATGAAGCGAATCTTACGGCTTTCAGACTGGGGCTTTGCCAAAATCACCAACGTGACACTTATCGGACACAGTCAAATCTCCACCAACAGAGAGTGCAGTACAGGTCAAACCTTTATTAATCATTTCGAAATAAGTTGGATTGTAGAACATACGACTCTCATCTCAAAGTGGTACCTTTTCCGCGATGAACTATCAACAATGATATCCTCTGTATCAATACCAATAGCGGTTGAGTACGATATTTAATCATCACCCAGTTCTATGATATGCTAGCCATAACATTCACATTCTTGTTTCCGCAAAGACAATGCTCATGTGCACTGTGTATATGCTATCATTTAACAAGTAAAAAAGATACTAAACCAACCAGTAGAAATACTAATGCTGATACTAAATGTGAAATCGTTGATGTGCCCTGTAGCTGGACTGGTTCTCCCGTTTGCCCGATATCTGACCATCACTGGGGCAAAGATGATCAACTATGACCGAGCTGGCTGTGCTGCTTTCCACGTCACCAGTATCGACGGCACCTGCACGGACCTCTGCGCCGGTTTTCAATACAGGTCAGTCCACAAAAAGAGAATCAGTCAATTTGCAATCCTAATAATTTTCAGAATTTATGCTTGTGACATCAAATGAAGGTTTAAAGAGCTCAATGTTCCGTCACTCTGCAAGTATTCATTTTCAGAATTTATGAGAAGTGCCTCTGAATGTATACGATGCATCTGCAACAAGAAATCAGTGATTTTATACGTTTGTGAAACATTTGTAGGTTTTGTTTGACTCTCCAGCAACAGAAATGACGTCAAGATGACGCAATTCCCGACGTCATACAGACTTTCAGAAAATAATTTTTTCTACACTTGATAAAACACTGTGGAAATAGACAACAGGCATTAATTTGAATGGTTCTGTAAAAAGAATACAGTGTGTTGATGAAATTTAAAGCTTGTTTAGGTACAATTGGGATATGATCCGCCATCTTAAATTTTCCCAGATAAATTCTAGAAAATAGTCATTAGGTTTGTTGGATGTAGCTTAAGCCACACCGTAGTTAGGGGCATGAAAGTAGGCTCGGAATTTTCCTGCTGACCTGAGCTACATACGCTTCATGCAAGTCCTCTTCTGGAAAATAATGGTATTTCACAACTTTTATTAATTATGCAAACCAAATATTATCCGGAAACACAAACAGACAAACAAATAAATAGACACGCGACCTACAGTACTGTACCTCCATTTTCACAGTGGCAATAATAGGGAACTGTTGCTTTACAGGGCTGAAGCTGTTGAATACTATTCCACACCCAACAAGGCTGCTTTTCGTTGGGAACACGAAGGGTGGATTGAAGATTTAGATGGGTCCGTAACAGGGACTGTTGGAGGTAAAGTGATCCCCTCCTCCGCAACCTTGCCTCCCACGTGTGTGGAGAATGCTGAGTTCAGTACAGGCAGTTACCCAGGGTCGGTCTGCACTGATGCTGGTATCAGGTCAGTTATTTATCATATTATGGAACTTTACCTCTTTTGTGGAAGTATTGACATGACTATAGTCTCTTCAAGATGTCAACAGTGAGACAGAACTGTGAGGTTGAAACACACCGGGAAGGACCCCTCAGTTAAGAGTACGTGGTAGGATCTATAACGTGCTTGAGATGTCTCTTCTCAAATACATTTTGTACGGCCAGCTTTACGTCCTATCCTAGAGGACATCCCTGACCGAAGCTAGGTACTCATTTATACCTGAGTCGAGTAAGGAAATAGTTAAGTGCCTTTCCCTAGGCCACAACAATAGGCCAGCCAGGGATTCGAACCCAGAACCTTTGGATTGTTGTTGTAGTAGTAGTGATTGGTTTATTGAAAAGAGCAATGAACATATCAGACTTGCAGTAAAAACTGAATTGTGCTGATATTTACAACTTATAGGATTATACAATACTAGTAGATATAAAAGGGTAACTTACACTTGTAATATACTAAATTCATAAAAACCATCGTCATATTATTATAGCAATATTATTAAAACAATATAATTTTCTCACGAGTATAAAATCACTACTGTCGTTCTACATTAAAATGACTGAAAGACTTTGAAGTTTTAAAAGTTAGTCTGGTACGAGCGCTAAGGATATATACAGTTGGCGGTAAGAATTCGATGTGACATAATAAACAATCAATAGTACTGAGATTAGGGTCCAACCCGATTAAAAATTCAGTTAAGAAGTTTGTAGTCCGACCAGGAGTTTTGCTAGTGCAGGTGTCGCACTGGTTGTGTAGCGCTTAGTGCTCTTGGCCTGGCAGTAATGGAGAGAGTTCCTTAGCGACCTACCTTGTCCTTTAGTCGACGGCAGCCAGGAGCGGAAACGTGACGATTGTCTGATTTTGGTTGCAAAGTTAAGGCATAGGTCGACTTATGTTGTGTCATAAAGAGTATGTCTTAAGTCTTGTGTTGATCTTTAAGTTAGTGTGCATGATTCCCAACTTACGTTGTAATTTTAATGAAATTATTAAGTCAAACTTTCTGTCTTTTATTGGTTTTATGGATGCAAAAATACGGATACCAATTAGAGCTGTGTACCGGTACGCAGTACCGATACTGTACCGGTAAAATTGATTAGGTACAGGTCCAAAATACCTAATCCCTCAGTACCGGTACTGTACCTAAACAATTTCACACCAATTTTATGCCTATTTGTGACCTCAAATGTGTAAATAGCTGGTTAACAATGGGTCCCTGTGTAAGGACAGTGTGTTCATGAAAACAAAAACATATATATAGCCTATATTTTATCTGAGCATTCGCCATAAACAAAGAATAAACCTTAACTATCAAGTTTATTTATGTTTTTTTTTGTTATTGAAGGAGTTCAGAAGAGCATATTAAAATTGGTCGAATTGTTCAGGTACAGGTTCAGGTCCGGACCTGTACCTAAACCTGTGTACCTGTACCTGTACCTGTACCTAAAATTTGTTTAGGTACACAGCTCTAATACCAATATTTTCTTTTTTAGGTTTTACCGTTTCGGTTTCAAAGGAGTCCAGCCGGAATCACTTGACATGAGGAACGCCATCCTCAAAAATGAGTATGGGAACACTTCTGTGCCCTGGTCTATGAAAAGAATGACTCACAAGCCAGGGTGGATGCTGATTCTGGTTGGGAAGACACCGTACACTTTCAGCTTCAAGGACTCTTCTCATATCACCAACCTGACGTACTCAGGCACCTTTTATGACATGGAGGTTGGGATATATGCCATAAGAGTATCTTGTACTAAGTTCTTTTGTGTCAGTGAAATTGAATTTTTTTACGGAAATACATGTTGGAAATACAGACGAATTTGAAACAAGGTTTAACCTACATGGATATCTTTTCTAACTTATGGACAAGCATAATTATTGATGATTCTGAAACTTTTAAACTAAAAGGCTAATGATAACAACCACAATTGTACTTGTGCCACAACACATATGTTAATTCATTCATTCATTCATAATACAGGACACCGACTACATCATCATGCAGCACAAATTTACGCAGCGTCCCGACAGCTTCTCGCTTGGCGAGGGAGATGACCGGGAAGAGTCTGTGGCAGCGATAAGTTATGCCAACAATGATGACAAAGACTGGTACTTTGATGAGGCAAAGACATTCTCCTATATAGGTAAATAAACGAAAAGTCATCCGTTATGCTTAAGAGATTTCAATCATGTCACCTTGGCATGCCTTCACCTTTTTCATCATGCGTAGCAACATGATGATATTATCCGCAACTTTGTCCTTTTCTTCGAGGAAATGTACATAGAAAATTGATGACGGGAAAATGGAGCAAGTTTCCAAAAAGGCAAATCCGCAGTAAAACAAAATTGTATTACGACATCCGCCCAGCAAAAGACGTCATTGTTGTATCACAGTCCCTGATCCACTTTATCTGTTTCATTTTTTTCAGTATCTGGTAAAGGAGAATCATCACCGGTAGATCGAAGTGTAAAAATGCAGGTTTACAGATGCTTCTATGAGGACTGCATTCCCCCCGCTGACCCTAACGACGTGCCGCCTGACCGCCAGCGGCCTGACGACTACATCATGTACTCCACCCTCAGCTGGAAGATGGACACTGACGGTTTCATGGTTCCCAGTTCCTCTGTACCAGACACCAGGAGTATTACTCTTCAGCAAGACGATGACGTGAAAGTGATGGGAGGTACGCCAACGTCAACGACAAAAATATTTCCTGGCAATAACCTAACTTCACATCAACTTTGATTTTCGCCCCTTCTCATCTCAGTACCCAGTGATATGCAGAAACACACGCATGTTAGCATCTGGTGTATTTTTATCATTGCCACTTTTCTGTAGTATCCTGGCTGGTGCTTGGTGATTCAGATGTACCAAAGCTTGGGAAACTCTACATCTACACAGTCTTGGAGTTGTGGGATCCTTCAAATCCCTACACCAGGGATTATACACTGGAAGCCAGTCATATCTTCATACAGGTGAGTACTAATTTAAAAGCTTAAAGATAGTATATATACTGTGACAAAGGATTCTTTATCAGCAATCGATTTTAGTATTTGGATATAAACATTATGGCTACTTTTTCCATGGCTAACGTGTAATTATGAAAATAATAGATTTGCGGTTCCTAGTATGAGGTGCCTGAGCATTTAGGCAGGTAGGCAGGCAGACGGTATGAGTCTATATGGTTACCACTCTTACAGGGAGGCCGGCTGGTCGTTGGCTGGGAAGATAACCCATATCTTGGCAACATCCATATTATTCTCCACGGCGACCACAACACTCCCGAGATGCCTGTTCCGAACGGGCCGACTGTTGGAGCGAAGGCAATAGGTAAGGGACTTCTTAGTACCATAGAGTATTACCTTGTTCAGTAAGGGTGGGAGCGAAAGAGAGAGGAGGGAGAGAGAGGGGGAGAGAGGGAGGGAGGGAGAGGAAGAGAGGGGAAAGGGAGGAGGGAGGGGGAGAGAGAGATTTTTAGTTACTAGTATGTTATGCGTATATTCATTGTTCCATTGCTCAGGAGTGTTTGGAGGCCTGGACCTGTTCGGTAAGAGTAGGAACGTGTGCTGGACTCAACTGGCCCAGACAGCTGCAGCAGGTGCAAACACCATCACCCTAGCAGATGCCGTCGACTGGCAGGTGGATGAGGAAATACTCATCACCACGTAAGGAATTTCACTTGTTTTCTATCAAAAGGAAGCCCGCCATGATATCTCTTGCCTTAGTGTACGTATTGCAACTATCAGTAAGCGCCACATGATGCTCACTATTGTATATCTGTCTGTAAACAGATCACGGCCATTAGAACTCAGGTGACGGCTCTGGGGAGGACACAAAGTTTCACAATTTTCATTTATGTAGGCCAGCAGCGTTGAAAATAGGAAATAACCTGATTTTGCTTTTTAAATTTGATACAGTACCAGTTTCGATGCCTGGGAGACGGAGACGTTTAAGATCACCGATGTATCTGCAGACGGTAGAACGCTCACCCTGAATTCCAGTCTTGCCTACGAACACATCTGTGAGTTTAAACTCTATATGGCTTTTGACTGCTAAAAACTACATTTAATTTTCTTCATGTAATATGTAACAATTCTCATCTCGTGTGCATCACGTCCAAATTATATGTAGAGGTTGAGACAAAGAAAAAACGTTCATTTCAGATCAACACTATCTACTTGGTAAACTTTTTTCAGAATTATTCTGCCAATTATTTTTGTCCAATACTGTAATCACTGTGATATGACATCTACGTTTCTTTCAGGTTTTCGGGATTCTATTTCACAGGAATTTTACAATACATTTACTGAACCTTTTTAATAGACCACAGCGATACGGTAGACGGAAAATCCTACACCATGGCAGCAGAGGTGGGGCTCCTCACCAGAAACATCAAAATTGAGGGTGCGGACTACCCGGGCCTCTTCACGGAGTCATTTGGGGCCAGGGTGCTGGTCGGCTCCTTCAACACTGGAGGCCAAACATATACAGGTTGGACAAAATCAGGCACAGAAATCCCCGCGACTTTGATGGGATTTCTAACAGTATGTACAAGGGTGGATAAAATACTTGATCATGGCAGTACGTACCGCCCTGCCGCCATGTGTGGCTAGCAAATATTGAGGCTCATTTTTACATTCAGGACAGAGCTATTGATTGAGGTGTGTTTGCTTGAGGCTAAAATCAATTTCACCCCCAAACCACCAGTTCTCATACTTTTTAGCCATGTTAGTATCTGATATCGTTTTGCAACAGATTATGAGAAATGTGAACTCAAGTTTGGATGCTCAATACCTTTAGTCACTTTTTTACTGCACACTTCCACGGAGAACTGGGGTGTGCACCGTAAACCCATCATAGTGCAGTCTATTATATGGAAGCTATTAAATCAAACGACAATAGTTGAACATGTCCAAAATCCTGTATTTTCTGTCGCACGACGCCCGGTCGCACGCTCACCTAACTCTACTACACGAATACTAACTATGGTGACCACGTAATATTTTTAAGCCGCTATCTCACACGTTTCTCCCCAAACATACGAAGTACGGGATGTTATTGCCGAGAAAACCCCATCGCTGGTAAATCGATGTGCGAAATCTTAGCCTGGTGGAAATACGAGACCAGCCCATGCCATCTGTTTTAACATGTATATTACATGTTTCAACATGTTTTAACATGCTTAAAAGCAATATATAAGACATGCAAATAATGGACCATAGGACGTTTCATGTCAGACCGATTCCTGGCCCTCAAATGTCGTGAGAAAGCGCACTCAACTAATGACTTGTCCCTCAGGCTACGCGAGGATCAGGAATGTGGAGTTTTACCACACCGGGCAGGAAGGGTGGAACGCTTTCTACGATCCACGCTTCTCTCTGGCGTTTGTCAACACTGGAGACGTCTCCGAGGCAAAACCATCTAAGGTCGAGAACAACGCCTTCCACAACGGCTTTTCCCCTGCTATTGGCGTGTACGGAACAAACGAGTTGGAAATCATCAACAACGTTGTACATCACACTGTTGGGCAAGGTAAGCTGTACCTATTATCTGCAATACACTGTGGCAGATTTGGAGTGATTTCATGACTTGTATACTAATAGTATGTATATAAACATAATGTTTAACATTCTATCTAGTACCTATACTTATTACGTTGTTTAGGACTAATAGGATATTTTGACTGTGACGTTCAGGAGTACGTTAGCTCATCCTGTTGAACATATGTTTGACATATGTCAAAAATATATCTTTTTTGGTTATATGAAGGAATGATCATCGAGGGGTCAAGAAACACCCTAATAGGAAACCTGATCGCCTTGTCCATCTGGCCGGGAGCTTACCAGGACCGGAAAGAGGAGAACAGTGAGAAGTGGGAGGCAGCTCTGGAGATCATGGACGCCACATACATCGTGCTGAAGGTAAGTCCATTCAAGGACTATTGGTAGAGTCAAAATCCAAACATCACTAGTCAGAAGCTTGTTAACACTGTTATGTGCCCTTACATAGAGCATTATTTCTATTTTCAAATTCCTTTTATGTTAGATGACATCGTACATATCATATGTGAGAGCACTACCAATAATCAAAGACTAAGAATATCAAAAGGACAACAACTTAATCAATTGTGTCTGGCGTCCGTCTGGAATTTACAACCATCTAATTGACAATCCTCGACACGCAGGACAATGTTATTGCCGGTGCAGAACGGATCGGACTGCACCTAGACGGTGAGCCGTGCCCTGGTGCAGACAACCCGGTTGACAGTTGGAGTGGAAACGTCATCCACTCAGGTACGCATCAAGTAATATCTTCCGATGAGATGGAATTATTGAGATGGAGCGTACACAACACGCATCGCTTCAGGTCCTATGTTACAACGTCACCAACGACATTGGCCTTGGCAAAGAAATTCATGTTTTCGGTAACGTTCGTCAGAGTGTCTGTCTCGGTGTCTGTGTGTCAACATGATAACACGATTAGGCTTAAATCAGTTTTGTCTGTATTTGATATGTGGGTAGGTCTTCACGAAACCTTAAATTCCCTAGCGATGGGTCCCTAGCGATGAGACCTAATAAAAGAATAGATTAACATTTGTCGACATTGCTCGGGAGCAAACGCAGCAGATGGCTTTACCATATCCTGTAGCAAAATGGACCTATCTCCCTCCTGCAAAAATGGACTCTTCCTAAATCACCCCTGTCCAAATGTGAAGTGTTTCAATAGTCTATACGCCTATGCAGCAATGGAATCTTCCTACGACTTCTGCTGTTGGAACATGTAGAACCCTAGTAGAATGAATCGGTTTTCTATTTAGAACTGCCAATTGGCGATTTGGGTTTTCAAGCTACAATTGCTGTTTTTACTTAAATTAAGGTAAATAAAAGTATTTTAAAGGGCTGAATCTGAAAAGTAAACACTATAGTCTAAGCATTCGGTGCCAAGCTACCTTTATGCTGAATTTCAGGTCATTTGGTTTTCGTATTAGTGAATAGAAGCAGAAATGTACATTTTTGCCCAAAAATTGCAAAAAAAGTCCCATTTTACATAATTACATAAAAAGTGACACACGCCAAAAACGTAAAAAAAAAACGTTCTGTAGAATTATATCCAAGGATCTCCCATACCACATTTCAGGTCATTTGGTTTTAATATTAGGGCACAGGAGCAAAAAAAGGGCATTTTTGGTCAAAAATAGCCAAAAAGCCATATTTTACCTAATTTTAAATTTTAAAGTAGTGTATGTCAAACACGCGATGTCCAAGGTATCCGCATATCGAATTACAGATCATTCGGCTTTGATGGAAAGGCACAGGAGACAAAAATGTACATTTTTTTGGTCCGAAAATAGCCCAAAATCTATATTTTACACAATTTCAAAGTAGTGTATGTCATAATCTTGAATGCCGTTCTGCATACATGTGTCCAAGGTATCCCCATACCAAATTTGAGGTAATTTGATTTTAGTACCAGGTCCATATCCCAAAATGTATATTTTTTGCCTGAAAATGGTAAAAAAACATTTTAAAGGCCTATTTAAAAAATAAAATAAAAAAGTCTGGGGGGTATTTGCCCACTCTACATCCATGCTGAAAAATGGCAGAGTTGAATCCATTTAAAGAAACGGCATGAGGAGGAGAAGAAACATGAGAGAAAACAATATGTTTTAACTTCGTGGTGTGGTGAAGCCATAACAAAAGCTCTAATTACATAACGGAGGTATGAGGTCTCCAAGTAGTTCTAGAAAATCAGGTATTCCCTACGTTACTTAACAATGTGTTATTGCAGTTTTTCATATATAGGCATGGATATTTATTATAAATTCCACATGTATGTGTCTTTGTTTGTGTGTATATGTGTGGTACAGATAACCAGAAGTGAGTCAGTTTTAATACTCAGAATTTTGTTGCATTTCCTTTGAATTTACAGCACTCCATGGCGCCCACCTGTATGAAGACGGCCTTCCAGTGTGCTCAATGGTCTCCAACTTCCTAATCTACAAGTGCTACAGCTATGGCGTCTACTTCCAATCTGTGTCCAGTGCCGTCCTTAAGAATGTGACGTCTATTGACAATGGAATCGGCTCATTTACGTCAATCATAGGGCCGCCGTCTCTCTCACACCAGGTTTGTTATTTTTTTTCTTAGTTTTCTTCATTTTTGTTTGCTTGTTTGCTTATTTTTTTAAACATTGAACTTGTATTCTGTAGCAAATGTAGCTGGTTCATTAAATACACACTGTAACTAGACTATTTGGCTGAATACATGCAGGGCAAAAACAAGTCTGTGTTGATACAAGACTCCTTATTCGTCGGAAGAAGTGCGTCCTTCAGCTGTGAAGATGATGTCTTGGACTTAAGAGACGACAATATTGAGATCGCACAGGCACTAGGAGGCCTGGGCTTCCCCAGCGAGAAGGGCACCGCGGGAGGACACATCGGTGTTTCTTTCCCCGGCTTCATTTCTGCTTTCAGTGCCTCCCCTCATCACCCATGGGACTCTCAAATGGACTACCCTGCAAAGAGGGGTATCACCGGAATAAAGGGTGAGTGTTGACCTTAGTACATTGTATAGCTGTTTTAGCCCTCACAATCACTATTTTCATACGTATTATTTATTCGTAAATAATTTAATCAGGTAGGTAAACGACTGAATAGCAAAGTTCTTTCTATCACAACCATTTATTTTTCAAACCGACGTTTCGATGACCTTCTGTCGTCTTCATCAGGGCAATTTTGACTGTCATCTTCATCAGGGCAATTCTGTATGATGTAACAATGCCTAGTATGTATGTCACAATTACACTACATTCCGGAATGTATTGTAAACAGAAAAAAACTAGCTTAAGTGCACTATGAACTATGTAACACCTTTAGTGCACTATGCACCAAGTAACATCTAGTGTCAGTGCACAGTAAACCAGTCAGAATTACCCTAATGAAGATGACAGAAGGTCATCGAAACGTCGGCTTGAAAAATAAATGGTTGTGATAGAAAGAGCTTTGCTATTCTATTTTTTAAAAAATATATTCAACTTGAGGACACATGGGTGGTCCCTTCAGCCGTTTGGGCTGATTTTCAAGGGAGCCCATACAAGAAAATAAAGTAACATAAAATAATGATAATTAAACTTAACAGAGAAATCATATTAGACAGTTATATATTACCATTTAATAAATGCAGCTCTTTAAGACAATGGTACTTCTAACACCTCTAAGCTGTGTTTGTGAGTGTGTGTGTGTGGGGGGGGCGGTGTTGTAAAATTGTAACGAACAAACAAATCAAGTCAAACCGATGACTAGGAGCGCGAATTCGCCCGGCAATAATATCACGAGGTAGTCGAAACTGACATTTTAAAGTCATTTTTCTCCGGTTTCGAACTCCTCAGATGTAACATTTTCCAACTTCGGTGAAGCCTGTGGTGGTCTGCAGGATGTCGCGCTTCATACCTGGAACAGTAACGAAGACGGAATGCACCCGATTGAGACAGAGGGACTGAGTTTTGTAGATGTTGATAAAAACAACATAGCCTTCTTTGGGCGACCTTCCCTACGGTAAGAATACAGGGTTGTCTTTGGAAATTGTCTGTTCAAATACTCGGTAATGAACATTTCTCTCGCATTTCTCGTATAGGATATAGGAACCACAAACCTGTGATTTTAATTGCCGTCAATATAAACGTGTGCCTAATGACAATATCGGGCATCAGTAAAATAGGATGTGATCATGACTTGTCTATCTTTTATCGTGGAGATGAATGGTTAAATATTTAAAGAGGTAGTATGAAAGGAATTTTCAAATTCCAATCACCATAACTTGTGAAGTACCAAACATAAATGGGGACAAACCTACTTGTTGATTTAGCATGAAAGCTCATCTGTGTTGGTACATATCATGAAATAAAGACTAAGCTTTAACTTCCAACTCTTAGATATATACAGAATTGGGACTTACCCCAAATTTTCGGTTGACTCCATCAACCTTGTTCACGGAATGTACCCGTCTACTCTTGGAACGTGACGTCAGAGACACGTGACCGTAGTAGCGGGTCATACGTGCCAGATAACTTGTGTCGCCCCCCGTCTCTGTTCAGGGTAGGTCTGCGGGCTCATCAACAAGTACGGTTTTAAGACCTATTTCATAGTTGTTGATTCTTAGAGTTTTGAAATTTTGTATTCTAGAAAGATCAACCCGGCTGACTGCGTGGACATGGAATGTGACGGGAAGAAGGAGACGTTTATAAAGGACAGTGACGGCTCCTTGCTGGGATCACCGGGAGCCCTCATCCCGCAGGCGGAGTGGGAGTGGGACGGAGACCCCAGGAGAGGCCTCGGCGACTACCGCATCCCGAAAACCATGCTGGCTGATTTGGACGGAAGACAGAGAAACATCAGCGAAGTCGTGTACGGAGGAAGGGGTATGTCTTCTCTTTGTTTTGTTTTACTTGTCAGTGGTTTTACTTCTGATGACATGCTCATAAGGGGACACATATTAAAGTATTCTGTTAATATGCCCCCCGTTTGCTTCATCCTTTAAGTTAGATGTACCTATTAGGATTGTTGGTAGTTCAGCACAGTTATGTATCAGTTATGTATCAGTTCAGCAGTTATGTATGTGTAATATATTAAGTTTTATGGATTTTTTATTGAACGCTGTGTTGCCCCTATGGCTGATTGATGTGCTACAGGACTGATGATGATATAGTAGATAACATTTTAACATTTAATTCATATGTCAAGAAACACTTCCTTGTAGTCGGATGGATATATATTTATTACATTGTTTGATTTCTGTACGCAGGTATCATTAGAACTCCGCAATGTGTCAACAATGACGAGCTTCATGGTCACCTTTGTCACGATCTGAACTACGAGATGCTGGTGATCGAGAGTCTGGATGACGACACGGAGACCCGCAGGCTGTCACCTGTCGCACTCCTGGCTGATGGGTACATCGACCTGCTGAACGGACCTCAGGTTTGTTTGTTTGTTTGTTTATTGTTTATTTGACCAGAGAAACATATCGCCCATGAAGGGCGGTTTTCAATGCACCCTGGGGGGCAATCCCCAAACAACAATAAAACTAGAGGTCGGAGATCTCATATCTTCGTCAGAGGTACATCGTTCTAGAGAAATTAACATGCGTATTCTTCACTCTTTTTAATAATCAATTTGGTCAAAAGAACAAAAGAATCTCTGTACTATTTTTATGGTACAGAACACCCTGAAACGGTTTGCCGCAGATTATACAGATGCGTCGTCACCCGTGTTAGCCCCCCCCCCTACGTTATTTGAGTTTGGACTGTTACTGGAAAAAAACGTTCAAGAAATTCTTACTGTGTTGAAATTGTCACGACAGCGCCGCAAAATATAATAAGAGAAGATGTTATAAAGGAAAGAATCAGAACAGGGTGACTACTGTTGTTTTGTTAATTTGTCTTTATGACAAATAGAAGACTTGTTTCTTGTGTTCTTTGTGTCCTAACATTTGTACTTCTACAGTTAGTATATTCCAAATCTAGGCATCTCGTTTTTCGGCCCTTCGTGTTTTTATTGCGCGCTTGCCTTAAATTTAAGGTAATTAGATTTAAGGTCTCCAGTGGACGTCATCCATAGCAATTACTTGGTGTGGCCGTAGAAAATAACCTGACATATGTCCAACCTATCCTCCCCCTGCTGAAGTTATAGTACAATCCCTCAATGTAACGTCATTTGATCCCATCCCATTATGGGGTTCCCCGGCTATATCCAGCTGTCGGCTGTCTCCAAGCAGATGTAGGTGGGGGATTTCTAAACACAAAAGGTCCTATTACGGGGACATAACGACCTCCACGACTCTCATCTTTGAACTCAATCTTGGAGACCACGACAGTAATATGCCTATCAAATTTCATTAACTTCCATCCACACATACAAAAGTTATCCTGCTCACAAGAAAAATTAACAAAATGCCCCCTGTAGTCACAACGAAACTCCCCACGAAGCTCAGTAACGAACTTAACCTTGGTCCTGACAATAGTAAGCACCACACCAAGAATTATAATCAACATTTTACAAATACTTGAGTTATCTTGCTAACAAGCCACAAACACAAAAGGTGCACTAACGTGACGCACGGACCCCCCACGAAGCCGAAACTTGTACTTGACTTCGGCCTCAACAGCGGTAATATGCCTGCCAAAAATCATGGACGTCGAATCATGCCTTCCAGAGTTATATTGCAAAATCCGCAGTTCCCCACACTCCGGCGAGACAATTTCATAGTCCTTCTGACGAAGACAATAATAACAATATAATACAACATAAAGTAATCACTGAAGAAAACTTATGCACAATCAAATTTAAATAAGGTAACTTAAGCACGAACTTAAGTAACAGAAGAATAAGCGGTCCAAAATAGGCATACATCAAATAATATCAAATCAATCATACAGAAATCAAAATAAATAATAAGTGAAATAAGAAAAATTTGCATATCAATGCACAATTGACAGGCAGTCTTGTTTGTATATTTGTTTGAAACGTAAAAGTGTACTGGCCGATTTCAGGTGAGATGGTAAGTTGTTCCAAAGAATCACGCCAGAGTACGAGAAAGCTCGCTTTCTGTACTCCAGTTTCCTGCCTAACTTACTGGCTTACACGTACGGACTCACATGTCGCCCGAGACATGTTACCTTCAGGTTGCTGCTCTTTCTCAACTCTTATGCACTCATCTCACCCTGGAACATTGTAATCCACAATACTAACCACAGGTACTCTACAATGGGCCATACCACGTTCAAAACAATGCTTCAAAATGAATACCTCTATCGGAGCATTTTCCGATAATAATGTGATAGGTAACCAGGATTTTCCAAACCAGTATCAGTATGATGTATAATTTGTTTGTTAGGACCACGGATGGTGCGCTGGCTACACCTGCCAGAAGCGTATCTCCACCTTCTGGGCTGTCGTGGCCACAGAGAAGGAATATCTCATCCACTTCAGCGGTCTCAGCCCCCAGAACCTGCAGCTCCAGCTCCTCAACACTGCCCCAGACAAGTCCTTGGTTGTCGGCATCTACTACTGCAGGCCCGAGAGGTTGGACGTGTATGTGGACGGTAGTTTCGTCGAACCAAAGAACTTCGACCCTGATACAGGAGGAATTGTAGCCGGGAAACACCATCCAACATTGAGCGATTCTCCTGGAGCGAATTTCATGGACATTGAATGGCAGACCCTTTACTTCACTCTGTCAGGGTCTACTCCCGTAACGATCAAACAGACCGACGTAATTGTCCTGACCTTCGGGATGCCGCCGGTGACGGTAGAGGACTTCTTCTCCTCTGACCAGTTAGTGACGAACCTCTGCCTGTTCCTGAACATCCCGCCGGAGAAGGTACGAGTGATGAACGTTGTGCGTGAAGACAGCCTGCGCCGTCGCCGTGCAGCCGACGGTATGACAGTTGAGATCCAGATAGGAGACCCACCAACCCTGTTCCTTAACGAGTCTGCAGATAGCAGCCTGTCTTATGATGATCTGATCGGCCTGACAGCCATGATGGTGAATGCTGCGCAAGCAGGTTGGTTTACAGATTGATACAGATAAGGGACAATGCCATGACGTAAAATAATTTGTTGAACTTAAATTTGTTTTCGGAATGACCAGTTGCCAGCTGGTGGAACCTACTTTGTTTGCTCAGGGCCTCCTAATACCAGCATATCTAATACTTACGAATGATGCAAGTCCATACATTTATTTCAGCGAGATCATCAGATTACATTTTTGTCACCTACATACAAATCTTTATGAGAACATGACCTTCGAGTCAACATGCAGAAACGGTTTGATGGTACATGTGGTGAATGTTGCTGATGTGCCATTTTAGGTGAACTGGACAGTGTGTTCGGAACAAACGTGACCAGCGTGTCTGTGGTGGATCCCGTCCCGCCTGTGGGCAGCCAGCAGTGGCGGGAGATGACCGTGGAGCAGACCGCGGCGGATGATTACCCCATGCCGGGTTCCATCATCGTGCACACCCAGCCGGTACCTCTTCACGAGATGGCCGTCTTCACCGTTCAACCCAGGATCCAGGCACTTGACGCGGGGGTGCGTACTTACGACCGGTTTTCACATACGAATGGTTCGATCTGTATGTAATTTCTTGCTAAGGTGGCATTCGCAAAGAATAATATAAGAACAATTTCAGCGTTGACATGTAATTGCTTTCAGTTGTAACATGCCAATATGACCTATCGCAATACGTACGCAGTTGACAATACTTCTTAATAAGATTTGAGGTACACTGACGTACTATGGTGGAAACATCACGGTATACATTTTTGTCTAGGGCAACCACATGTTACACCTTGGCCACACCAGCTCCCCCTGGGAAGTCACTGCCTCCCTGCAGCTAGGAGATAACAGCGACCCGAGGGCGGCCCTGAGCGGTACCCTCAGTGTGCCGTACGTTAACGGCTGGGCCAACTTTACTGACCTGACGGTCTCCCACAGGTAAACACGCGTTTATAAGGGAATAAACGTGGATCACTCTGTTTTGTGTACCTCGTGTGTGGAAATGTCATTTTCATGTATCGGGAGAAAATTGCATCATGCAGCAAACCATAGAATACATGGCCCGAGCAACAGTTCAACATTACGTGGGGTCGTGTGGCGTAGCGGCAGAGTGCGCGACTCGGAACCTAGAGGTCCCGGGTTCGAGTCCTGACATGCCAACGATCTTGTGCCCTTGGGAAAGGCACTTTACACGACATTCCTCACATCGCTCAGGTGAAAATGAGTATTGTCCTGTCATGTATTTGTCCCCTGTGTTGGTGGCGGCATTAATATAAGTTGATAAAACTTGAGTCTGTCTGGTGATTACATGTTGGAATAAAAAAACAGTTCAGCATATTACGGTGGAGACCACTTGTTGCATAGAAAGAAACCGTCGAAAATGTATGTCAAAAAGGAGTTAACAATCTATAACTGAATCCGGATCGGTCATCCGGAGAAGCCGCCCTCAGCTGTGACACACAGACTGTTTTACTCTTATATATACTCTAATGAAACCATGGATATATTGATAATATGATAATGATGATAATATGACATATTTAAATCTTCATAGTTCTGTTATCGTCTTTGGGTTGAGGGTGTAACTCACCACCTCTCCGTGTTACAGCGGTGAGGACTACACAATCCTGTTTACAGTGGAGCAGAGAACCCGTACTGATCTGACTGTCCAAAGCGAGGCTTTCACAGTAACAACGATACCAGTAAGAGGTACATGTGTATGCCTCCTCTGTTTATAAATATGAGCGAAAATTTGAGTGTTGACTGTATGTACTAAATATTTAATACTTGTAGATGACAAGCTTTGATACAGTTACAATATTGTAAGTAAGATCCTGTACTAGAAATGTACCTTATATGAGATACGGACAAAAAAATACATAATTTTGAAGTTCGTAGATCGATTACAAAGATGAGAATTTGTAGCCATAAATTGAATATAGAATTAGGAAGATATAAAAAAGGAGGTTTTGTCCATTCTGTCCCAATGATATTGAAGACGAACAAGCTACAATAGCCTTCATTTTTTAAATGAGACTTTCAAATAAAAGTCTGTGATACCAGTATTTGGGTAGAGAAGATCAGAAGAAGAATTTGAGCTGATGTAATGGGAAACCTTTATAGTACATATATCATAGTCGCAAAATTTATCATCATGATGTCAAAGAATTTTTGCTATGTTGTGTTTATTCAGCTGCTATGTTAAGCCAGCCAGAGACAGCCACTGTTAACGAAGCTTTCAACCTTCAACTGGAGCTGAGGGACGCTGTGACCGGACAGGCGCTGACTGACATCTCCTGGAAGGTACATTCAACTTGGTCTATAGTCCAGATACCTTTAGTTTGTTTGTTAGGCTAAGGCCACAGCAAGTACATTTTATGAAGCTTGAGTCCAAATCTAATGCGAGCGGGCGAAAAAAAACAAGGCGGGCCGAAAAAACAAGGTTCCTACATTCTCAAATTTTGACTCAATCATTGTACAAATGGTTTTGATTCAGAGAGAACATCACATATACACAACCATTATCACATATCAAAGTAAAAAACAAAACATTGAATCAGAGTCTTGTCTTGTCTCCTGTCTTCATAATCATCTGCCATCCACGCTCCGGCATGGCAACAGACATATTTGCCCATTTTCGGCATGGTGACCACTGTTAGAGGGCAACAATTTTCCCCCAAATCAGGCAAAAATTAATGCGTGCGCTGATGTCATCCATAAAAATTACTTGGTGTGGCCTAATAAGGTATAAACATGTCGTCTTTGAAAAAAAAACTGTTTAGAAAAACTCCATTGTTATCTCTGTTAATGCATCGGAAGTGTAACCGCTCTTTTCATCTTGTTAAATGTTTAGGCCAAGTTGATTTGATTATATGGATGACATCCTCTGGGAACCCAAAAACTGATGCGAGCTTGCGAATAAAAAACATTTGGCAAAAAAAGGTACCTTTATTATGAAATCTGGGTGGTCATGAAGGTTGAACAAATGACTAAACATACAGAGTAATATTTTATTACCATGATGATTAAAAGACTTATTTTCATTCCTTTACATTTTCTTCTTGTCCTTCGGAATGCATTCTGCGACAAGAATCGTTTTCCAATATTTTTTTCAATTTACGGCATATATTAGCTCATTTTGCAACTACTTTGTACAAATTAAAGTATAGTCAACAACTTTTTTTTTGGAAACGGTCGAAAATTCGCGCGGATGTCATCCATATAATCAAATCAACATATAGCCTTAGTGTCCAGTTATGAGGCTAGCCTCTGGGTAGTTAGGTAGTCATGGCAGTATATCTCTTTATAACAGTTTAATAAACCAAATCAAATCTATCAAATCAAATTTATCAATATGTTCTGCTGTCTTGCGAACCAGAAACATTTTTCCATGTTAATTTCAGGGGCAGACCTGGACAGTTTCCGTCTCTCTAATGGAGCCTGTCCAGGGTTTGTACCAGGGCAGTCTCCGTGGCAACACCTCTGCAACTTTCGACGTCGTGACCGGCCATGCCACATTCAGGGACATATCCCTCACACACGCAAGGTAACATTAACATTTAAGTGGCGTCGTGTGGTGTAGTGGTTAGAGCAATCGACTATGAAGCGGGGAGACCCGGGTTCGATTCCGAGTCGTACCCGGGACATGTCTGAACATGCGCCCCGACGTTGTGCCCTCAAGAAAGGCACTTTACGCGAATTCCCTCACTCCACCCAGGTGTGAATGGGTACCTAACTTCGGTTGGGGAAAGTCGTATTGAGGTCACCTTGTGGCGCCGAATGGCAGCCGCACAGACCCTTGCGACAAATATGTGTTATCAGGTGTATTATTTGATTGTTGTGATTTGTATTGGTTATTATGTGATACCCTGCAGCCGTATAAAAAGGCTGCGAGTGCGCGGGTAATGTTTGGACAATAAAAAAACATTTTTTATCACATACAAATATCAACGTGCTCTACGCTGTTTTATCCCTTTCAGTTAGTTATCTCATTGACATGGGTTACAACAAAAAGAAATTAAAAATATCTATTTTTTGCTGGTTTACCCTTTTAATCATTAAATACTTTATAAAAGAAGAAATACATTTTTTTCTTAACTGTACTGCATTACATGGAACAAAATGCATCATGTTAGATACGTGTATGCCAAGGCTTCAGAAACTTAGCCTTTCACATTTTCACACTGTAAACTTATGCCAAAAAACAGTTACTCAAGCAACTGGATATGATTTTGAAAACGTCAGACGTTTCAGCTAGTATCCACTAGCTTTCGTCAGTGACTGAGAGACCAGAGGGGAAAGCAAATTTTTTGGAAGTCGAAAAAGGAACAAAAGTCAGACAAGTCAAGACAAATTAGTCTGAAAGCTCCTGTTATACAGGACAGGAGCTTAAGTGTTGTCTGTCCTCGGGGCTGGGAGTGCCAAATCCCAAGTGCCGGAAAGATCGACCCGAAGCCCCCCTTCCCTGTTGAGGGTGGGGTTGTACATTCTTTAGCTCCTGTCCTGTATAACAGGAGCTTTCAGACTAATTTGTCTTGACTTGTCTGACTTTTGTTCCTTTTTCGACTTCCAAAAAATTTGTCTTCACTTTATTTGCATATCAATCAACAGGTTGTGTATATAAACCTGCTTTCCCCTCTGGTCTCTCAGTCACTGACGAAAGCTAGTGGATACTAGCTGAAACGTCTGACGTTTTCAAAATCATATCCAGTTGCTTGCGTAACTGTTTTTTGGCATATCGTATTACCTGGATGTCTGACCTTCATCGACGCACTGTAAACTTAGTTTTTCAGTCGTTCGCAACGCTTCTTTTTCAGTCGTTATCATCTTCAGTTCCACGTCACCGGTGGAACCCGCGACCCCCCCGTGCCGGAGTACGACTTCACCTTCTCCCCCGCCCCGATCGATGTATTTGAACCGGGATTCCAGATGCCATCAGGAGTTTCCAAGTCAGTACAGATCACCTTCGATGCTGACTTCTACCAGACGGTTGGAGATCATGAACTGTACTTCGAGACCTTCATGATGAACGTTCTCAACACCAATTTCAGCACAGTGTACTTTACTGCCGCTAACGCCTACGCAGGTCTGCAAGTACACTATCACTTTTCTATCACAGACTTGAGCACTATGTGTCATAACATGTGTATAAAATATATTACAAAAAGAATGCGTTGAATGAAATTTTTGTAAACCCTTTATCAATGACATTTGAATTAAAGCTAAACTTCCAGCACTGGTTATTTATCCCAATTTTTTAGCACCATATTTTTTTTATTCTAAAAACGTGATAGTTACATTGACATGGGATATTTGTTAAGAAGCATGCTATCCCATTTTTTTCACTAATAAGAATATAACACAATCACCTCACTAAAAGGTGATTGTGTTATATTCTTATTAGTAAAAAAATGGGATGGCAGGGGTGTCATCCCATTTTTTCACTAAGAACAGATGGTGATCATACTAGTGAAAAAAAAAGAAAAAAATAATTACAATTATCCCAAGAAAAGTACTTAGCACGTTTTTCACATTAAAATAGATTACGATGCTAAATAATTGGGATAAATAATCAGTTCTTAACTTCCCGGTGTTGTGTTTTGCTATGTTTAAGTTATTGACTGAGAATTTAAAGCTAAACTTCCCGGTGTTGTGTTTTGCTATTGAGTGTTATTGACTGAGATTTTTTTTCCATTGGTTGATATCTGGTAGGAAGTGTAATCGTGGACATGACCGTGACGGGTGCGGGGGATGAGGTGGAGGCGGCGGTGTTGCGCCTGTGGTACCAGGTCCAGCAGCCGATGAAGGTCATGTTTAACGGGAACACCATGGAGACTATCGGCGTCATGTATGTTGATGGTCAGCGGTATTATGGTACGGAGGCGGTGAGTGGACAGTTGGCAAAAATTTTACGAACGTCTCGTCAGTTGTAGCAGTTAATGTATGTGATAAGTATGTAGATACACGTGGGGTCGTGTGGCGTAGCGGCAGAGTAAGCGACTCGGAACCTAGAGGTCTCGGGTTCGAGTTCTGACATGCCACCGATCTTGTGCCCTTGGGAAAGGCACTTTACACGACTTTCCTCACTTCCTGAAAATTATCACAACTTTTTAAGTTATTACGTTTTTCCCTTAGAATAAAAATACGTACTAAATAAATGTGATAAATAATCAAGTCTGAAAATGAGTATTGTCCTGTCATGTATTTGTCCCCTGTGTTGGTGGCGGCATTAATATAAGTTGAAAAAACTTGAGTGTGCCGTCACCACATCTGGTGATTACGAGTACATGTTGGAATAAAAAAAAAGTATGTAGAGCGCAAGAAGTGACACGTGGAGGTAGCTTCCCTTTCTTGCTAATGCAATTCGTTGATCACACATTTCATCTGCATTTCATTTGGGTAACTTCGCGGTGCCAAAACCTCTATATATGTATGTCATTTTCCAACTACTTTTGCATTCTAATTGAAATGAACAAATTTCATTAAAAAAAACATCCTTATATTGTGGGCCAGGTGAGTGCAGGACCGGATGTGGTGATGATCGCTGCTGTCTCGTCTGTTGCTGTCCTCCTACTTGTGACCACCGTCTTCATTGTCGTTTGGCTGAAGAAGAGAAAGTCGCGCAGTAAGAACCTCGTGTTTACTTCATGCTAGATAGTACATGGCAAGTCTGCTAAGTCAGTATAAATACTTGTATCGCTGAGTAGCAGTACAAACGACTAGCAAATGTCAACAAAAGTGGAGAATGTTAAAGGTTACCAGCTAGTCACAATTTGAATATTTGGACTTAATTATTATAATATGCAAACAAAAATTATTATCTCTCTGTCTTCACAACACAGAGGTCGGCGGAACGCTCCCGGGGATGGCTGAGGAGAAGAGAGAAGGTAGAACTACATAATAATAATAATGATAATGATGATACTAATGATAATGATAATGATAATAATAATGATAATGTACAAAATAATAATGTACAGTGTACAAAGTATGGCATCTACTAAATTAAGCAAGTACATGTCAACTACATTTTTATAAGGCTAACCTAATACAAAAGTGGATACGACATGTGCATGCGTATTCAGTGACTGAAGACTACTTTGATTGTTTCTTAAATAAAACTTTGAACTCTGTTCTTGTTCGACACCTTTTCATTAGGATGGTTTTAAACACCACCTTATGAATAATACAGGATAGAAAATTGCATATATTGATTGATGTATAGTGATTCAAGTCAGTGTACATCGTTAAAGTCATCATTAAAAGTCGTTCTGACTTCCTGTCGTGTTTTCTAGGAACCAACATAGGGAGAGACTTCAGCCCGACATCTGCTTTAGGCCTGAACAAGGCAAGTATTTTGTCTTACCGAGTCTTGATGTGAACAGGTACGCTAAAGAGGGTTGGTTGGTTGATTATTTCCCAATTTACTATTGACTAGCACTACTGCTAAAGTATTTGAGGATTTTGAATGGAAAACAGAATGTTTTGGCAGGAGGTTGTGTTTTCGGTATCGCTGTCCGTGTGCAAGCTTGCCTATCCCTAGTTGTGTGTGTGTGGTCTGTGTGCATTTTCAAAATGCTAGTAACGTTTACAGTTGAGTGAACAGAAAGTTATCAACAGGCACATGTAAACATTAGCTGCATAGTAAATGAACTACAACTAGACATGCATGACGGTGGCATAAAATAAGTTGATATAACTTGAGTGTGCCGTCGCCATGCTTGGTCATGAATTGTTGGAGTATAAAAAAACTAGACATGCGAGAAACTCTAAGTATTTAACGGAGCATGTAGCATGTAACCCATAAACTCGCCACCGCCCGATTATAACATCAAGATGGCCTAAAAATTCATTGATACGACAGACGAGGAAGTGGGCGTCCGGACGAGTAATCTCTGTAATCGGAAGAGATTTCTGTTGAATTCTACTCTCCATTACTCCAGAAGGCTTTACCAACAGTCCATGAGATGAAGGACCTTGAGGCCAGTGTTGGGAAGGGCAATGCCGTGTTCACGATGCAGGAGACCGCGTTTGACAAGACTGACGTCCAGTCCCGCCCGCTGTCCCGGGCCTCCATCTCTCCCCGCCCCGTCTCTCCCCCCGGCTACGTGTGTGAGGAAGGGGGTGAGTAGATACATACATACATACATACATACATACATACATACATACATACATACATAATCATACTCAGAGAGTTGAAGCATTAACATAGTTCAGCTTCCAGCTTTTCTATAGTAGAAAACATATCCGGTATACGGTGTTATAACTGATTTTGAATCATTTAGGATGCGTCAATTACGGATCAGGGGCAAAACATAGTTTTGGGGACAGGTCCTCACTGTTTACCTGCAGTTAATAGAGCTGCGAACGGCATGTTCCCAATCGCCTATACTGCTTACTGCTTATGAAACTATAAAGTCTTTTGGAAGTTCAACTTATTGGATTCTATTGAAAAGTGCGGAGGGAATCCCTAAAAACTTGCTGCTGTCCTTAGATGACATCCCCGAGCTCAGGAACGTGGCGGTCAAGCAGCTGAACAAGCTCTACCGTCACGGCGAGATGGCGAAAACCTGGCTGGACATGAAGAAACCTCTGAATCAGGTATAGGCTAGCTGAGACATAGCAGCCGCATTTACATGTAGACTGTGTAGGTCGCTAAGTATGACGCCATAAAACAGTTACTCAAGCAACTGGATATGATTTTGGAAACGGTCAGACGTTTTAGGTAGCATCCACTACATTTCGTCAGTGACACTAAGAGACCAGAAGAGTAATGCAGGTTTATAAGCACGAACTATTGATTGCTATGAAAATAAGTGAATACTTGAGGACTTTAATATGAGGTTTATTGAGGAAAAGCTCTCCTTTAGCTGCCCACCCAAGGGTGGCAGCTATTCCTCCAGGAGAGGGTACATAGACATAACAATACATCACATACAATTACATATACATTTACAGTACATAGTATTACTTAAATTAGGACTTAAATGCATTCAGGGGACCTCCTTACTGCCCAAGAAGATGAGGGATCGCCCATATCAATATTGTTGATGAATCCACACAAAATCAACACTGATGCATAAACTATATCTAGGATGACAAAGAAAGGGACTCCTGCGTCTAAAACTATGTTATTTGGACAATTACCTGTTAGTAGAAATTCTTCGATCAGTGACTGTATTTTTGTAAGGTATTACGTACCTCCAAATTTTCGATGTCCACTGTACATCTTGTTTCACGGAGTGACCTAGTCTCGCGAGAACACGAGACTAGGTCGAGACTTGTGTGGATCTTCTGGCCTCCCCCGCCTCCTTGCGGAGTAGGGGTAGGTAGGACTTGGGCAGCTCCCAACCTTCATTGCGATTCATCCCGGCACATTTCAACTGGATGTGGACCGCTTCCTTCATCTTTCTATGTGACGTACAGTTAGAATTACTAACTGTAAATTGTACGTGACTGATGAACCTCTTCAACGACAATTACCTGAATTTAATTTTGGCCTAGGTTCGTGAGGATTTGGTGGCCGCCTTCCCTGCCCGGCTGGGGTGGCAGGACTTCGTGTTCCTGACCACAGGACTGACTCACGTCGCCATGGAGACTGAAAACAAGCTTCGTCTGAAAGACATCGTTGAAGTTGGAGAAGATGTTGTCACCATTCACATGGTGTAAGGTGTGTAATCAAATGTAAATAATAATAATGTAAATAAAATGTAAAAAAATAATAGTAATAACCTTTATTGTACATTCATGCCCGATCGGGCTACGTACAGGTGAACAGATGAAAAGGTAATATACATGTTTGTAGTACAAACAGCTCTAAAACTACTCTAATACATAGGTTCGGCTTCTTCTCGTTTCTTTGTGATGTTAAAAATATAATTTGAAATGGGTTTGTATAATACAGGATGATCAAAGCGCATAAGAAAGATAAATTTTTCAATATTAGGCAAGTATTGGAAGTATGGAAACGTACTTGTAACATATCTAAAAAGATAATTTCTTTCATTACTATATAAACTACAATCAATAACAAAGCGGGCTTCGTATTCTACTTTGTAATAATAGTGAGTAAATTGTTTCGACGAGAGAAGCTAGAATAGAAACTGCCCTGTATCTATATTGATGATCAACTCAGACCTGGTACATAGGAAAAACGAGAGGCGGTTCGCAAGACCACCGGACACTCGTCATGCATAAAGATATATGTAAGCCGTATTGCCTCATCATTCAGGTGGTGGTTGATTAATTATTCGGTTCATTAGAGAGCGTTGGCATTTACATATCAATGAGGAACCACCCTGCACTACCACCCGGATTATGAGGTATTCTAGACATATTTATGTTTTTGACTGAATCTAATGTTTTTCAGAACAGGCCACCGGGCGGAGCAGCGTCGGACTGGAGTTTGCATCCATGTATTTGCGGCGTGCATAATTAGAAATGATTTTAGAGCTAGGTAAACCAAACGATTAAAAGGCCAGTCTTCCTCATTTCGTACAGGTCCTTAAATACAGTTGTGATCAATGCAATAATTTACTTCGATATTTTTGGCTGGCCAACTATTCAATATTGGCAGATATCAAACGAAATTACATGAATCAACTTCAGTGTATACGGATACAACATACAAATCAATGTATTATCTTGCTTTTACTCGTTTACAATAAACAACACAATTATCTGCAATAAAAATGTACCAATGTGTCATTTTATATTAACAAAGGCCGACATATATATATATATATATATATATATTTTATGAACAGACCACATTTCATCATGTCAACCACATACCATAACAAGAGTTCACATCTCATACCTTCACCAGATAATGTTAACATTTTAAACGAAGGAAATGTAAATGTTTCTGATTGATTATGTCTTTCTGTGGTTATTTGTCAAACTTGGTCCTGCAGTTTTATAAAAGCTACCAGGGGCCAAAATCTATTTCACTTCTTCAAAATCTTCAAAAGGCCAAGACCTGCCACCCAAACATCATGCCTTAGCCCAGCGCGTCCAGAACATACGTAAATCAGAGGTTCTGCTGCAGTAGGAAAAATCTTATCGTTTCTTTGATAGGTCAATACCTAATATATATAATTACCAAATCTGATGACAATCCATCCATAGCGTCACGAGTTAAGCTGCAAAATCTCATACAAACGCAACTAAGGACATAACCTTCTAGACGAAGAATAGGGACATGCAAAAATATTTGTCGAACAATGGGCTTCAAGTTTTCTGCGACTGCTACGATAATCTTTACAGCACTGCTGCTTCCCTTCAGCCAATCATGAAGCGTCGATTTCTTCCAACTATCAGTATATCCACATCATGGTGCCCCTGATAATTGAAAAGCTTATTGCAAATTCTTGCCCGGAGGCTAATTGCAAATTACAAAACATAAAAGAACTAGAATTCCGAGATCCCATACCTCCATGAAATATGATCTTGATATGTAAATGTAAATTTCTTCTGTGCAAATGACCTCTGCATTAACATGATATATGCATCGTGATGTATGTTAACTTTTGATTAACTTACAGATGTCCCAAGTATGACATTCTCATCATTCACCATTACGAAATCATAGAATTTTCGCATCAATTATGCAAATTAGGTCATCATTTGCATAATTAGTATCTGTTGAAGTTCCGCCTGCCATAGGTTGTTACATTCATTACATGTATGTAAGTAGTATAATGTAAAACACTGTAATTATAGAATTTCCTCATTAATTATGCAAATAAAGTCCTCATTTGCATAATTTGCATTTAATTATGTACATCTCTCTCTCAGCTACCTACACATCAAAAATAATGAAAATATGTTGTTCCTGTCTGGACTTATTGGATTTTAAACATTTCGCCAGAAAGTGCCTTGCAGTTCCAGAACAAGCCGCTAGGGGGCCCAAACTCATATGACTTCTTCCCAAGCACGAGAGCTACCTTCCATCAAAATTTCATGACCCTAGCATGTCCAGATCGCGAGATATCAAAACCGGAAGTTGCGCTGCAGTACCAAGGGAAGCCACTAGGGGGACCAAAATCTAATCATTTCTAGTTTTCGTCACACCCTACCAACACACCAAGTATGAAACCAATCCATCCAGGCGTTCTTGAGTTATCTTGTTGACCAACAGACGGACAGACGGACAGATAAACGCAACTGAAAATATAACCTCCATGACACATTTCATGAGGTAATAATGAAATAGAGTATAAAGTAACTAAATTCTACATTATAAAGGTAGCTGTCTAGAAATATAACTATGTCTAAAACTATGTCTAAAGGGTTTGACTTCTCTTCTGTAAACCATGGAAGACGTAATGTCCCACCTTTTCTAAAATGTGTGGGTTTTGGAAAGTTAAGAGAAGAATAGTTTTTTTCTTGGTCTGTAAGTTTAGAGAAATTGGGATAAATTGTAGAAGTTTGAATAGTCAATTCATTTCGAGCGTTGTTATGGAATGAACAGTTTGAAATAAAATGTATTTATAACTAGAATTCCGAGATCTCATACCTCCATGAAATATGATCTTGATATGTAAATGTAAATTTCTTCTTTAATTGTACAAATGACCTCTGCATTAACATGATATATGCATCGTGATGTATGTTAACTTTTGATTAACTTACAGATGTCCCAAGTATGACATTCTCATCATTCACCATTACGAAATCATAGAATTTCTGCATTAATTATGCAAACTAGGTCATCATTTGCATAATTAGTATCTGTTGAAGTTCCACCTGCCATAGGTTACATACATTACATGTATGTAAGTAGTATAATGTAAAACACTGTAATTATAGAATTTCCTCATTAATTATGCAAATTAAGTCCTCATTTGCATAATTTGCATTTAATTATGTACATCTCTCTCTCAGCTACCTACACACCAAAAATAATGAAAATATGTTGTTCCTGTCTGGACTTATTGGCTTTTAAACATTTCACCAGAAAGTGCCCTGCAGTTCCAGAACAAGCCGCTAGGGGGCCTAAACCCATATGACTTCTTCCCAAGCACGAGAGCTACCTATCATCCAAATTTCATGACCCTAGCATGTCCAGATCGCGAGATATCAAAACCGGAAGTTGCGCTGCAGTACCAAGGGAAGCCACTAGGGGGACCAAAATCTAATCATTTCCAGTTTTCGTCACACCCTACCAACACACCAAGTATGAAACCAATCCATCCAGGCGTTCTTGAGTTATCTTGTTGACCAACAGACGGACGGACAGACGGACGGACGGACAGATAAACGCAACTGAAAATATAACCTCCATGACACATTTCATGGAGGTAAATATAACCTCCATGACACATTTCATGGAGGTAATTATCGCACGTCTCTCACTTGGTCTAGAGGTGGTAACCTTCTTAGCTAACCAGACGCCTCTCCAGTTTGTACCTCCATCAGGATATCCGTGCTCCAACTAACGTAAAAAATAGCTTATTCTGTTGATGCCCACGTTTGACATGCTGCTTCTACTGGAAACATTCAGCTAGTCTAGCTGTCTGCCAAAAATACGAGAGAGATCACTTATGTTTCAACTCATCTTAGAATTTATTTGGATATCTCTCTGACTGGGGAGACACTTGATATTTTATTCGGATATCCATTAGTTATACAAATTTTTGTGCAACATCCAAACAAAGTCATTGATAGGGGAAATGTATACTAATGATACGAGCACTACTCAATGAAATTTGGACCCTCACCTGCTGTACACACCACAAGCAATCATGCAGTCTTTTAGGCGCAGTCTACAGTTTCAGAGGACTGTCTTGTGGACCTTCAAGCAAAGGCAACTTACCACCACAACGGCGTTTCAAAACTGAAATAGTCTTGTATTTCGCTTTCTACTGAACATAAGTAACGTTTTATTTAGTGTTAATGTAATTAATCTAATTAATTGCTGTATGTATTTATGTATGTATCAAAATTATGTATTCTTTCTATGTACCCAGGGACACCTGAAAAAAGGCCATAGTCCTGAGTGTGATCTACTGGTAAAATAAAATAAATGATGAAATGAAGTTGATCAACTTCAGTGATGCAAACTACGGGCACGGGGGACATGATGGGGAACAGAAACTTGGTTCTATTATACTATCTTAAACTGTCATCTATTGCTTGACGTGTTCAAAATATGTTGTTCTGAGCAAGTGTCTGGGCCATTCCAATTTAGCAGACAAAAAAATGTATACAGTGTACTTGCAACCACCAATCAACCAAATGTTCACATGGTCATTTCCCAAATAACAAGGACTGACACAGTTTAGCACTCGCCGATGGAACACACTTGTATTGTAGAAAAGACACTGCAAAACAGTTAACAGACATTGTATAGTTACACGTCATATAATTACAAATAGAACTGACACAAAAATACACAGTGATATTTGTAAGGTTTTCCACAACTAGAGATACACACATTTTAAAGTAAATCCAATGATATCAACATGTACAGCAATAACTAGATGCGTGTATATATAACTGAGTACACTATAGTTTCTAATACATCACAGTATCTAAGCATTCTGAATTGAATCTATTTGCATGTTGTAAGGATGGTGTACTCCTAAAATATAATAGAATTTACCTTTGAAACAGAATGCATTAATTTTAAAAATTAATTTCATTCAGTAGAAAGGTAAATCACTTTTCGTGTTTATATTTTGAACAATCCCTGAATTGATTACATATTTGGCGACTTTAAGTATTGAGCCAAACCTAAAAAAAATTAAAACATTTTGTTCTTCACACAAAAATTATAAAATCACAAATACCTGTATATCCATAAACAGGATCTTCTCACTCATTTGATGTAAGTAACTTCTATATATACACTTGACTTTCAGTCTTAGTGAAAACTGATCTTGTGATCTTGCAACAAACTTGTTTTTATGATATTCTATCCCTACCTGACAATAATCAACTTCATTCTCAAAAGTACATCTATAAAACTGAATGCGGAAATCAAATCAGAATCAAAACATTCCACAACAGGAAATTTTCTTCAATTGTTTTTCACACAAAATAAAATGATGAATACCTGACATATTCACAAAAAGGATTTTGTTACTAACTCATCAGATGAAAGTAACCTCTAGACACTTGACTTGCAGTCCAAGTGAAAATTTTACAACAAACTTTTTTTGGTAATATTTCATCCTTCATATAATAATTCAGGCAGTGGAAATGAAATCAAATCTGAAATTCTGACATACAATTGCAATTGTCTCTCAGGAAAAAACAAACAAAATTGCCATGAACTGTACAACTGTCTGTTACAACAATACTAGTATAGTTAATGTCAGTCTATCATGATATCACTTATCTGATGTTTATTTCTCACAACAATTACATAACCTGGTACATACATGCACACCACACCGACACAGATCACATGTAGATATCTTAAAACTTATCTTTTTCAGATAATGAAGTTCCTTTTGTCCAATATGATTTAGTATGACAGCAGCTTCTATAAAATGTATCAATTTTGAATAATATTATAAAGGTATGCCGTTATAAAAAAGACATGCTTGTCAACTTCGCTACAGATGGATTATCTTGGTTTTGCTACACAATAGAACTTTATTTTAAAGTCAGGTCAGAGTTCAACTTTCCAAACTTTGATCCTTAAATTACTTTAAAAAATATGTTTTCATAATATACCAACATGGTCAGATACATGTACTTACTAATATTACTTATGCCATGCGTGAAACTCAAGATCCTTGTAAGTTTAAAAGTGTTCTGTGTTTTTTTAATGACTTTTCTCTTATCCTTGCTGCAGAGGAAATTGATAGAAAAGGTACAATGTACAAAATGCAAGTTTCACCCAAGCATCAGTTTATACTGACTAACATTACTAGTACTACATTTGTGCTGGTGTTGTATTGAATCACATTTTTCCACATACCTATTTTCACATACAGAGCAAGACGTTCAGTTCAGTAGAAGTTTCCAGGCCTTACTGTTGAGGGGGGTATGCTGGGTCTTGAGGAGGTAGGGGGGCTGAGGGGTAGGAGGGGTGATACGGTGGAGGAGCAGGCTCACCCTGAGGGGGGTAGCCAGGTTGCTGAGGGGGGTAACCAGGCTGAGGGGGGTAGCCAGGCTGTTGAGGCGGGTAGCCAGGCTGTTGAGGGGGGTATCCAGGTTGCTGAGGGGGGTAGCCAGGCTGCTGTGGGGGTATCCAGGCTGCTGAGGGGGGTAACCCCCAGGCTGCTGAGGGGGTATGGTTGATCAGGTTGTTCAGGTTTAGCTGGGTAGGGTGAGGGCTGGGGGGATGGCTGGGGAGGGGGTTCAGCTGGCTGCATGGGGATGGTCACGGTCTGTCCAGAGTCATTTCTCCTGGGGGGGGGGAACACATCAATGTCAGAACCAGCCTCTCATTTACAAACATTCAAACAAGACATCTGAGATACAGACCACCAGGAAGACTACATAATGCATAATGTTCACAATGACTGCTGAAAATTTCAGACATCAAATTAATAGTTACCAGTGAGAATGCTACATGAATGGTTAGATGAGTGATATCATCACAATAAATAACACAGTAAGCAGCTGTTGCAATGAACACAAACAAATATCACAACATCAGTATGAGCTGGTCAATTCGTGATGCAAGCATAACTCGTAAAGTTCAAAACTGTTTCAACAAATTCAAACACAAAGCAGGATAAACCCCCTCCCTAACGGTATATAGTGTGGTATAGCCCATTTCAGTTAGAAGTCAGCTGAGGTTACCGTAAATAACAGCCCCTGTTTGGAAGGATATCTTCTTCCATGGAGATAATGATATGAATATAGCAGTTCTTGTTGGCTCATAAGGCCACAGCAAGTAAATTTTATGGATGACATCCTCCACAGACTCCAAATCTAATGCGAGCGGGCGAAAAAAAACAAGGTTCCTACACTTTAAAACTTTGACTCAATCATTGTACAATTGATTTTGATTCAGTGGGATCATCACATATACATGTACACAGCCAACATCACACATCACTGCATCAAAGTAAGAAACAAAACATTAAACCACAGCCTTTTCTTGTCTCCTCTCTTTCTAGTTATCTGCGACCCACCTTCTGGCATGGCAACATACATCTTTGCCTATTTTTGTAATGGTGACCACTGTCAGAAGGCAACAAAATTTCTTGTCTTTTTCTCTCCAGAATCAGGCGAAAATCATGCGTGTGCTGATGTCATCCATAAATATTACTTGCTGTGGCCTAACTTCTATCAACATCCCCAGAAGGATGGATTACATGTACATTGTAGGCCAGTTGGTTGGTAATACACACATTTATGTCCTACCTGGGCCGCGATTACGTTCGATACGGGTGTTCTGGCCCGTGTGATAACTAGCGGTACGGCCAAGGGCTTCTTTATGCGTACGGCCCGGGCCTTCCAAATGTTCCATTGAACGATTCGAACGCGTTTCGCTCTAACCGCTTGCACCACTTTCGAAAATTCAAACAGAAAATTAGGGACACCAAATTTTTGCTCATTTCGCATTGAAAGGCGTGTTTTGTTGGGTGGGTATGACATAAATAAAATACAACACGGGGTATTCCGCCCTCGGTCCCAGCCCTCACGCGAGTCGGATCACCCTCGGCCTTCGGGGGATCCGACTCGCGGTCGGGCCGATACCTCAGGCGATACGGAATACCCCGTGTTGTATTCTATATGTACTTGTATGTTACATAATACACACATACCTTTTACAGACTAAGTAGATGGCACCACAACAGCAGAGGCACACCAGAACCACCACAACAATGATGATGATCAGTGCAGTCATTCCAATCTTCATGATACCCTTAAACACCTTGGTGAAATCTGAAAGAGAAACAAGCAGTTCAAAAACACATCTAGTTGTTTTCTATTGATCATTCTCTACAACAAGTAAAATCAGTCAATTTGTTTCAAGCACATCAGTGGTGCTTTGGATAAAAGTTTATATAGAATTGACATCACTATTTGTGTACCCAGCACTAAACTTGGATGAAATTGGGAAAGTTCTGACATCACTTCACCCTATGTACCTACATTGTACTTCTATATTCATTCTTTTCAAATTCAAATGTTACAAGAACATAAACTCAAGTCTATAGATTTATCTGGTCCATCTAATCTCATTACTGGATACTTCCCTTGGGTATTGATTTGAATGTGGTGTTGGTGAAGACATAATGTTACGTGTATTGTTTTTCCTCATGTTTCTTATTAATATCTTCGTTCTTCTCCACCTTCTCCTGACATGTCATCTCGTAAAAATGACTTGAAATTTGGTATGAAGGTACCACCAGGCATCCGACCTACCTACCAACAAATATCACCATGATGTATCCACGAGATCTTGAGTTATGAGAGCCACAAAATTCCCAACATAAAATTAGCTCACTGCAGTTAAAAAAGAGCAGTTATATATGAGGCCCAAACATACACCTGGTACCCCCTAGATAAACATATACATGATGGTCATACATATTTAGCAGACATGCTACATTACTGTGTTCCAGGCAAGGGGGAATTCCAAAACTTGCGAAATTCAATTTTGGGCCATGGTTGGGTAAAGGATATGCACTTTACTAGTACATTTGTAGTAGGAAAAAAATCAATTTGTTGTCTGTGTCCCTTTAGTAACTTACAACTTCTAATACAAGACCAAGGTTTTTTTCTGCATCTACAAAATTAACAGAGAAAACATTATTTCCATGCCAAAATCAATGCACAAAATTGGCCACTTTTGGACAGGATAATCCTGTAGAAAAACATTTCTGCCAGACATGGCTGATGTTGGCAGAAAGACACAAACCTGGAGTAGACTGGATTCAATTATAAAGAAAATCCTGGTGCTGCAATTTCATCCATGGCATGAGGTGTTGCAAACCCACTTAGGCCGTGTTTATGTGAAGTCACCCAAACCGTGATTCGGGTAACACACATTCCTCACATCTGGTCCACTTGCCATACATTCCTTGCAAACCGTTTCCGATCACAATTCTACAAAATTACATTCATTGTTGTTTGATGAAAACATGCAAGGTGGCGTGTTATCAATGTCAGGGGTCAACGACCTGCTTGCTGGTGCCCCCCTCCCAGCGTATCTTGGCCGAATGCCGACGTGGTCCCGCCAGAGGCGATGAAGCTCGTCCTAGAACGGACACATTATTTGATCATTACTGCTCTTTAAGGTTCCGGGTCGGAGTTTAATTCTGACCAGAGTCTAAGTAAGTGCGCAGTAAATCGCCGGAAACGTGACTTTGTATGGTATGTTTTGGCCACGATATCCCTGAAATCGTAATATCTGTGTACATATCTTTGTATTTTCTGGAAAGCCTGTTAGTTGTAGCCTTTATAGGTGGCGTAATGTTGGTGGTCCAGCTAAGACTTCCTGGTATTCGTCCGCGCGGATGGTTATGTGGCCTTTTCGCCTGACCGCCGGGATGGTACGTTCTATATGCGTTCTGGGTGTGTTCGGGCCATCGAAGATAGCGATAAACTTATCGCATCGATTTTAATTAAATTCAAATTTTGGAAACATTAGGTTCTGAGCTTCTTCGAGTACTAAGCCGTTACCCTGGGAAAATTCGTTTTTTCCATGCAGCCATGGTTAAAAATGACGAAAAAAATGACCCCTTTTTCAAAATGTACTTTGATGTGCCTCATTTACCCCTAAATAAATTGGGCGCAGAAAATATCAATCAAGTGTATTGATAAGCGGCACGGCACCCCTTTCCACCAAAAGAGTGAAAAATTCCGACCCGCGTTTAGTACAGAAATGATAGCCCGTCGGGCTGAGGGTGTCAAATTGCTCGAAATACGGAGGGAAACTCCGGTCCGAGACCTTAAGAAGACGGCGCATGCGCAGAAAATGACGTCATCGATGACTCAATTTCGATTGATTTTAATGTTTCCAGCCG